GCAGGAGGCGCCCGCGTGTGGGTGATTGAGCTGCGCCGTATCTTAGCCCCCAGAATGATACTGCAGCCTGTGCTCTCGTTCGTGAACGGCCCCCTCGCCCACCCGCTCTCGATGCACCAGTTGTGGTCGCCTGCTTTGCGCCGGCGGGCCTCCCACGGACGCTCTCGGCCGTACCCCGTAGCCGTGGTGCCGTTCAAACACACGAAATCGTAGGCCCTGCAGGCCTGGGCAATGGACGTGAGCCTCTCGCCGCTCGCAGCGTGCATGGGGTTGTACTGGAGCACGCGAAGGCGTCGCCCAGCCATGAGGACGAGCAGGAACCAGCAGCCCACACTGAGACATCTAGGCACCATCGCGAGAGTGTAGATGTAAAGGGATGTCTCCACGCGGAGGCATGCAGGAAGTGTGGGAACGAGCGCTTGTCGCCCTCTGCACTTGGAGCGCTCCTGACCCAGATGCCTTCAGGAGGAGGAGGAGGAGGAGGAGGAGGGTCACTCCTCTATCTCCTACCTCCCCACCCCCCTCCCCCACGATCCTCATGTAGTAGACATCGGAGGAAGAGGAAGAGTGATAGAAGGAAAATGATGACGATGGTGATTATGACGAGTAGGAAAATGATGAACATGCAATCATCAACCTCATTATGTGTTTCATTTTGCTCTTCCTGCCCCTCATCATCTTCATCACCCTCCTCCCCCTCCTATCCATGTTACGCGTTCTTTTCTCATCGCGTTCTACCTGTTCTTCATGCCAAACGCGACACAGGAACGCTGGAGAAGAATGAGAAGGAGGGAGAAAGGAGGACAAGGAGTAGGAGGATGGTGTCAATGATTAGCTGCGCTTTCACATCCTACTGGCCCTCTCAAACCTCCTCTTCCTCGTCGTCCCCCTCATTATATAACTCGTCACCCTCATCGCCATCATCATCATCATCATCATCATCATCATCATCATCATCATCATCATCATCATCAGCATCGTCATCATCATCATCATCATCATCATCATCATCATCATCATCATCATCATCATCATCATCATCATCATCATCATCATCATCATCATCATCATCCCGTCGCCCCTTGTGGAAGGATAGAGGGGGGAGTGATACCAGGGATAGTGATATGAGGCAGAGGAGAGTGGGTCCAGGAGGCGGGTGATGTGCAGGACGATGAGGGGGTGGAGGAAGATATGAGGCGGGGCGGAAGAGGTTGATGCCGAGACTGCGGCAGACAATTGGCACGAGGAGAAGGAAGATGGTGAGGATGATGGTGATGTGGGGAAGGATGATTATGGCGATGCGTAACCCATACGCCCATCACCGCCATCAACATGATAGCATCACTCCCTCCCTCCTCCTCTTCGCATAATTCATATGTTTATCCATCTCGTATCTCAAAGTTGGAAAGAGGACGGGAAAGAGGACGGAGGTAGTGGTATGATGAGGGGGAAGAGGAGGGAGAGGAGGAGTGGTATGAGGAAAACGAGGAGTTTGATGATGACGGGAACGTTCAATAGTAGTGCCGTTTTCTGCTGCTAGTCCTGTCAGCCCGCACCCCCATCATCACCCTACTGGTGCATCATTCCTGCTCGTCCGTTTCATCCTCGTCCCATTTCTCCTATAGGAGAGGTGAAGGGTAGAAGAAAAGAGGAGGAGAAAGGGAAGGAGGAGGAGGACGATGACACTTCAAGCACCTCCTCATTGTCCTCCTCGTAATTCGTCTCCTCTGGCAACTCCTCCTCCCCTCTCTCACCCTGTCTTTCTCCGACCTCCATATACTTCCTTCTCCTCTGCCTCTTGTGTAAAAATATGAAAACCCAAGGCCTTCCTCCAGGCCCGTCCCCAAAGCCTACCCCGTTAGGGTCCGCCCGAACCGCCCACGAGGGTCCGCCCGCCCGACCCGACCCGCCCGTTACGGTTCACGCGTGTTCGCTCGCGCACGCACTGCACTTTAACGTTCCGACCACCCGACCCGACCCGCCCGTTAGGGTCCGCCCGACCCGACCCGAGCCGCACGCTAGGGTCCGCCGGCCCGACCCGATCCGCCCTCTAGGGTTCACGCGTGCTCGCTCATGCACACCCCACACTTTGATATTCCTCCCGCCCGACCCGACCTGCCCGTTAGGGCCCGCCCACACGACCCGACCCGCACGTTGGGGCCCGCCCGCCCCCGACCGGCCCATTAGGGTTCACGCGTGCTCGCTCGTGTATGCCCCGCACTGCAATACCCCGCCCGCCCGACCCGACCCGCCTTTCAGGGTCCGCCCGGCCGACCCGACCCGCCCGTCAGGGTTCACGCGTGCTCGCTCGTATACGCCCCACGCTTTATTGTCCCGCCCGCCCGACCCGACCTGCCCGTTAGGGTCCGCCCACACGACCCGACCCGCCCGTTTGGGTTCACGTGTGTTCTTTCGTGTATGCCCCACATTTTAATGGTCCGCCCGCCCGACCTGACCCACCCGCCAGGGTCCGTCCGCCCGACCCGACCCGCCCGTTGGGGTCCGCCCGCCCGACACGACCTGCGCGTTAGGGTTCACGCGTGCCCGTTCGTGTAAGCGCGCGCTTTACTGTCCCGCCCGCCCGACCCGACCCGCCCGCTAGGGTCCGCCCGACACGCCCGTTAGAATTCAGGCGTGCTCGCTCGTGCACGCCCCACACTTGAATGCTCCGCCCGCCCGACCCCACCCGCCCGCCAGGGTCCGCCCGCCCGGCCGACCCGCCCGTTGGGGTTCGCCCGCCCCGCCCGACCCGCCCGTTAAGGTTCACGCGCGCTCGCTCGCGCATCCCCCGCACTCTCATGTCCCGCCCGCCCGACCCACCCGGGGGGTGGAGATCCCAATCTCCTTTGAAAGAGAAGCTACCAGGCTCGCACACCAACGGGCGGCGGCGACGGGCGGCCACAAGCCAGCCAGTCTGGCGCACAGGCCCAGACGGGCGGACGCGCCAGGCGTCGACGGGCGGCTTCGACACGGCCGGACTGGCGCACAATCCCAGACGGGCGGCGGCGACGAGCAGCCACAAGCCGGCCGGACCGGCGCACAGTCCCAGGCGGTGGGCGGCTACGGGAGGCAAGAAAAAGCCCTAAGCGCAGGCATTGTTTGGGGGATATTCGGTCCTTGGCTAAGTGGGTGGCACATGATCGCCCGCTCCTACGGCCAGGGCCAAGGGTGGCCGCCGGACTTCGAGATCTATGATCAAGCGGGTGTTGCTTGGCTTGATGATTGGATCTGTGGATCAGGTTGCTGTCGTATCGTGGCCGATGTGTGTAGTTCAATGGTTTTTCCGGTTGCATGCGGCAATCGGTGAGGCAATCGGATTGGTTGGCATTGTTTCGCATTGCTTGGGGTTGCAATCCCGAGGAGTCCTGTGCTACGCCGGGAGACTCCGAGCAACGCAAGGGTCCGAGGAACCCCGGACAACGAGGAGCCTGGGGCAACGCCGATGGCCGTCTCCGACCAAGGCCTCCACCCACCAATTCTTTTCACAAACAGAGAAGAAGCTCTGAGTCAAAGTGCAAGCGGGGAAAGACGGGGTTCTCACTGGACAGCCCCTGTCGATTACACGTGAGAGTGACCCTTCGCTAGAGTGACCTTCGGTGCGGGCTCATCGGCCCCCCCCGATTGCTGAGCGCGATGCGATAGCAGCGGCCTGCGCGCTTGGGTTTGGCCCGCATCGCGCCCACCAAGCGCCGCGCACCAAAGGTCACTCTTGCCCAGGGTCACTCTTGCGAGTACCGTCGGACCGAGGTACAAGATCGAGGTCGGTTCGAGGAGGCTACCCTGATGTTCTTCGTGTTTGCTGGACGCTCTTGTGCATACTGGGAGGGTACCCTTCGATGTTCTGTGTGTTTTGGCCGGCGGCCCCCCCTGCGGCCGCCCGCTCCGTCCCTCCTCCTCTTCCATGCTGGCCAATTCGCTACAACGGTGCCCCCGTTTAGTTAGCTTCCTCCGCCAGCGCAGACGACCCCTGCCTAGCCGCCGACGCAAAAGCTTTGGCCGGCGGAGGGTCTCGTGTTCTCGAAGGATGCTCCTCTGTCGCAGGTCCGACTGTGGTCGGCCCCGCTGCAGGAGGGGCTGCGCCCCGTCACAGTGGGGCCGTGGTTGAGTGGCAGGCCCACGGGGCCGCCGCCTCTCCAAGGAGGGCATGCCCCGCCAGTGAGACGGCAGGGCTGCAGGGGCGACATGCAGAGAGGGGGCTGGAGATGGGGGAGCGTACTGCAGCATCGCTGTCGCATATTGGGCCTCCTCCTCCTCCTCCTCCTCCTCCTCCTCCTCCCCTCCTCCTGCTCCTCCTCCTCCTCCTCCTCCTCCTCCTCCCCCTCATCCTCCACCTCCTCCTCCTCCTCCACCTCCTCCTCCACCTCCTCCTCCTAATTTTTGCGTCGGGTGAACTCTGGGTGGGTGGTCCGTAGCGTTCGTGCGTCCTCCTCTTTTTGCCTCCTCCTCCTCCCATTTTTCCTCTTTCCCCTCCTCCTTTTCACCCACCTCCCCTGCAGAGGCCCTGCAGACAACATGCGGCAGGTCCGCGCCGCGTCGGCGCGGCGGCGACCCCAGCGCGAGCGTTCAAAGGTTGAACGCCTCCGGTGGCCTGGCACGGGCCACAGTCGAACGCCCTGCTCCACCCTGAAGTCGCGGCCGCTCAAAGGTTCTGAGCGACCCGCGCGGCGTCGGGAGAGCCGGCGCCGACGTCACCGCGACGCCGACCTGCCCGACGCTCAAATCGGGACGATCGGAATGGGTGCGGAAAGAATGGGCGCGAAGACCGACAGCAATTCCTGTTCCTTTTGAACAAGATTTGCTGCTGGTGTCGCCGCGGACTGTGTCCATTTGGGGCAGAAGGCCGCCTGCCCAACAGCGGCCGCTGTTGGTTTGGGACAACATTCTTTGTTGGGCGTTGCACCCATGTTTTCCGTCCCCGCTTCGGTCGCCGCTCGGCCCGCGTCGCTCGGCCCCTGCCCCCCCCCCTGCCTCCTCCCCGCTAATTAGAGGGGCCTCCAGAGGCGCTCCGCGACTCCATGGGCGCGGCTGGCGAGGCGCAGGACCCGCCGGTCGCGCACTCTCTCCCGCGGGGGTCCGGTCACTCCTCGGATGGATCGGCGCTCCTCAGGCTGCGTCTCCTCCTCCTCCTCCTCCTCCTCCTCCTCCTCCTCCTCCTCCTCCTCCTCCTCCTCCTCCTCCTCCTCCTCCTCCCCCTCCTCCCCCTCCTCCGTCTCGGGCTCCTCCAAGTCTTCATGTAATCCGTCGCCCTCTTCCTTGTTCGGCATGGTCGTTCCTGTTCCTCCTCTTCCGTCTGCGTCTCCATCTTCTCCTCCATTTCCTGATCAGCCGGGAGGAAGGAAAAAGGAAGAAGGGAGGGAGGAGGAGGAAGAGGAGGAAGGATAAGAAGAAAGGGTGACGGTGGAGGACACCGAGAAGGACGACGAGAATACCAAGCAGACGATGAGGAGTAAGAGGAGGAGAGAGAGGAGGAGGAGGAGAATGACGGTGACGAGGGCCAGGACAAGGAGGAGGGTGGTTTTGCAGAATCATTGCAGAAGTTTGCATGGACTTGCCAGGGGAGCAGAGTCATTGATGAGTATTGCAGATCAGTTCTGCAGAGGGACGTGAGGCACTGCAGGGGGAATTGTCTGCACTGCCGTTCTGCACGGGGAGCGGCGAATTCTGAGGGAGGGCGTCGGGGGAGGGGTTAACCCCTCCCCGAAGGAGAAAACGAGGCTGTTTCGGAAGAGCTGACCTGCCAAGCCAGCCAAGCCCACAGGTGGCGGGCGGAATTGGCACGTTCTGCCTACGCGGTGACGTTCGAGGTTCCCGACACCTCAGCATGGTGCACAGCGAGCTGATGCACATCGGGTGCGTGCAAGAGGGGAGATGACTAGGGGGGGGGGATATCATGGCGGGGGCCATCATATATCCCCAGATCTCATGGCCCCCTCTTCTTCTTTCAAGACGTCCCCTGGACTCCCCCTCGTCCGCACACATGCCTCGGGCCATGATTTGCGACCCCCCCGCTTTCACGCCCCCCTCATGAATGCCCCCGAGCACAGGTGTCCTCGATGATGCTGGCGAGGCCCGAGGAGTGGAGCGGGCGGGCGCGGAGCAGCCCCGAGGGGCCCCCCGAGTGGGTTTCGCAAGAGCCCAGCGCCGGCGGAGCAGGGGCGTTCGGCGGGGCGGCGGCTGCGGGCCCTGGCCCAGGGTCGGTACAGTCGAGGTGGGCACAGCAGGTTCGTGTGGCGCCGACGCGGCAGCGACCTGGCCGCGGGCGTTCAAGGTTCAACGCCGCCAGTGGCGCAGAATCGGTCCATGTTGAACGACCTGACGTCTCGGGAAAGGCCACTCGTTCACGGTGGAGCGATCCCCGCAGTGTCAGGAGCCAACGCCCAGGTCAACATGGCACGAGCCCGCCGTACAGAAAGAGTGGGGGCGAAGGCCACCAGCAGTTCTTGCCCGTGCTGAGCAGGGCTCCCTGTCGGTTGGGGGAAAGATTCTGCTGTTGGACATCGCGCCCAGCTTTCCGTACCCATTCCAGGCGTGCCCACGGGGTTCCCAGGTGGCGCCCAAGGCAGCCGGAGGGTGCATGGCTCCTTCCCTCCGTGCACGATGTCCGACCTGTTGCAGGAGGCTGCGCTCGCGGCCAGTAGCTGTCGTGGCTCAAAGCAACGGCGTGCGTTTGTCTGGGTGCACCTTCAAGCTGGGCGTGGTTGGACCATTCTCATCACGTGGGACCCCGGACGCCGTCATGACGACCACGTTGAGTGCCGCGTCGATGGCCGAGTTCGACGCCCCGTTGGCGGGCAAGCTCGCGAACTCGGACGACGAGGAAGGCGACGCGAGCACCGTGGACCTGTACTCCCGGCAGACATCCTCAGAAAGCGAGGCGTCGTCGGAGCTGGCGGTGGCTGACACTGTGGTGGTCGAAGGTTGCAAACTCCTCTCACAGACCAAACAGATTCGTCCATCCTTGGAAGACGTGCTTATGTCCTTGCCGCACTTCAATGAGGCGCGCTCGGATGTGGAGGAGGACAGCACCGAAGACGAGGACGCCGTGCTCCGAATCGGGCAGCTCGCTCGCTGCTACGCCCTCGGCCAGGAAGTCGGCGCGTGCTCATTGCATCGACGACGCGAGCACTGAGACTCTGGCACGTGGACGCGCAATGGCGGGATCTGCTGAGCGCACGAGGTGGGCCTCGCCACGGCGCGTAAATTTCGAAGCAGAAATTAGTGACCTGGTTGTTCTCAAGAATTCCGCTTACGACAAGTTTTTGTGCGCAACGTTTGTGCGTGGCGGGATCGAGCATTGAGTAAACTCCCCCGTCGGGATTGAGTGACTGAGTGATCCCCGACTTGCAATAACGTTTGAAACCATTTGAAGGCGCATGGCTGGGCATGATATGCTTAAACACGTGCCTACGTTTTCTATACACTGGTAAGATTAATTTGAAGCGCTGGCCGTGAAGGCAACGCCCATCGCAGACCCACCCAAATAATCACGCACACACATTCGGGATGCAGCATGTGGTTCCGATGCTGCACATTTCAAGTGCACATGAAGTAACGACGCGATTGGACGTCGCTGGGTCGTCAAGAGGCTCCCGTGCACAGCGAATTCATGGTGCGTGCATGGACATGTTGTTCATTGCCTCGGCGTTTGCATGTAGGCCCTCACTCCCTACCACCAGCCAGTCCTTTCAATTGCCCTTACGGCTGCGTTAGTTGGTTAAGCTTGGTTGGTCGGTTGCCATATTGGTTGGCAGGTTGGGAGCTCGGCTGGTTGGCTGGCTGGCATGTGCTGGCTGGCTGGCCGATGGAAGCCTGGCTGGCTGGATGACTCGCTGACTTGCCAGCGGGCTCGCAAATAATGAAAGGAAACACGAGGAAATGGTAGAACAAAGGGGGTGTTAAGGGAGGGATGGTGATTTGTCTGGGGCGTGCTCTGCAAGCGCGGACCTGTCGATTTTCTGCACGAAAGTTCATAGTCCCTGAGGCGCGATCACCACCATTGCTTACAAGTGGTCGTGCCCTTCGGAAGCGCATCCGTTGCTTTCCCACGATGGATCTAAGTGTCGGGGCCAGGATACATAGTTTGTTTACGCGGGGTCGTGGCATTGGGGGGTCTGCGGATGCGTGACTCCCGAAAAGAACGTAGCCTTGGGAGCACGGGTCCATTGCTTATTCACCATATCCTAAGGATGGGTGTTTTGCTATTACTCCGACCGTGCCGACTCCTCAGCAACAGCTTCCTCTCCTCCTCTCCCCACTCAGACTCACACGCTCGACGTTGACGACGACGGTGATGCTGATGCTGATGCTGATGCTGATGCTGGTGTTGCTGCTGATGATGACGATGATAGTGATGGTGATGGTGATGATGGTGGGGCGATGATGAGGATGAGGATGCGGATGAGGATGATTGTGTTCACGATGGCGAGACCACTGATGACGATGGTGATGAGACTCCGAGTTACTCAGAATGATAGTCACACCCCGAGTCAGTACCCAGGCTATGATGAAATGGGGACGACGATGATGATGATGACGATGATGATGCTGATGGGAATTAATATTACTAATACTACGAATGAAAGTATTGATGGTGATGGTTATGATGATGATCATGATGAGGCTTATGATGGTGGCGATGATGCTGATGATGATGGTGGTGATGCCGATGGGTATAGTGATGATGGTGATGGTGATGATGATGATGATAGTAGTAATGATGATGACGATGATGATGTTGATGTCGATGTTGATGGTGATGGTGATGGTGATGATGATGATGATGTTGATGGTGCTGATGATGATAATGATGATAATGATAATGATAATGATAATGATAATGATGATGATGATGATGATGATGATGATGATGATGATGATGATGATGATGATGATGATGATGATGATGATGACGGAGCAGATTTTGAGGATGTCTCGGGCGAGGCGCTGGTGTCAGCACCCCCAAGGGGTGGCCGCCAGGGGGTGTATCATTCCTCCGATCGCGCCCAGATCGCGGGGATGCTTCGAGCGGTTTGCTTGCTTACCGACCTGGCATCCTCCGCTTTCGAAGCAGATTTGGAGGACCTCTCGGGAGAGGCGCTGGCTTTCGACCCCCAGGGGGCCCATAGTTCGAGGATGTCTCGAGCGTTTTGCCTGTTCAGCATATCCTACGCATGGGTTTATTGTTATTACTCCGACCGCGCCAAGTCCTCAAACACATCCGTCTTTGTCTCCTCTCCTCACTCAGGCTCACACGCACGACGATGATGGGATGCTAACAATATTAATAGTAATAGTAATAAGATAGTGATAATAATTAAGTGATGATGATGACGACGATGATAATGAGGAGGAGGAGGAGCATAACCAGGATGATGAGGTTGATGATGATGATGATGGTGATGATGAGGATGAGGATGATGATGATGATGATGATGATGATGATGATGATGATGAGGGTGATGATGAGGATGATGATGAATATTATGATGAGGATGATAATGGAGATGAGGACGGTGATGATGATGATGATGATGATCATGATGACCAAGATCATGGTGTTGATGATGATGATGCTGATAATGATGGTAGTGATGATGATGGTGATGATGATGATGGTTGTCATGGTCATGGAGATGAGGAGCAAGATGGTGATGACGATGATTAGGATGAGGATGATGACACTGGTGATGGTCACCAAGATTATATATACCCGTCGGTCGTCGAAAGTAGGTGTTCCTGGATTCCCAGATTCCACTATGGTTCAAGCGCCTTCCTATTTCAAGAGCCGATATGATGTTGTTATGTTTTGTTCTCCATATTCAAGGGATGGGGTTCTCGTTATTCCCCCAGAACGGCCGAAGAGTTCCCCAGAGGGAAGGAGCGCCAGTCTTTTCCAATGCAGTTGAAAAGGAGGGGGGTCGTGGACACCCCCCTCCCTCCCTTCAAGAAGTCTATTTTTTATCCCCCCCCCTCCCCCATTCCTGGGGGGGGGGTCGGCATTCACATCATCCCCCCTTTGCGCTGATGCGGGAGGAGTGGTCAACTCCCCCCCTCACTCGACGGAGCGCGCTCCGGCGCGTGGACGAGGGTACGGGTCTTAAGGTGTAGGGTTTTTGGGTTCGGGTGTAGGGTTGGGTTTATTGCCTAGAGTTGGGGCTCGAGTTCGAGTTTGGGGTTTAGTGTGTCTTAGGGTTAGTGTTTGGCCAAGAGAGGCCCGAAAAGATGCGAAGAAAGGCCAAAGTGGCAGCAAGCAACACCAATCAGCAGCCAGCAGCCGCAAGCAACAGCAAAACAGCAAGCGATTCAAGCAATAGCGCTTCCCGTTGTGCACGAAATCTATGAAAATGCATTCGGACCCTGAGCAGGCGTCCAGGACGGCTCAGAGCTCCAGCAGTCCTCCAAGATGACCCTGCAAGCCTGGACGCGATACCAAAGATCCCCCAGAAGGCTTACAAGAGGCTCCAAGAGAGGCTCCAAGACACTCCAAGAGAGGACCCAGACAGCCAACATCGTCAAAGCCAAAGTCGTGCGTTTCCTGAGGATTGTTCAGCCTGTCCGCTGTCTCGTCTCCGCATGGCTTCAAGAGGTTTCCAGAGTGCTCTAAGATGGCCCCAAGAGGCCCGCAAGACTGCTGCGAGAATTCCTGAAACGGTTCAAGACAGCCCACGAGAACCCCGAGCTTGCCCAAGACGGCGCCAAGACAGCCCAGAAGAGTCTCCAGGCCCCGAGATGGCTCAAGAGGCCCCCTAGAGGGTCGCGAAACGATACAGACGGCTCCGCCATTGCCCAATCGGCCCGATGAGGCTGAAAGAAACGCACGAGAGGCCCCAGGGAGGCCCAAGGACGCGCGAAGAGAGGCCGGGTTAGCCGTAAGCAGCAGCAGCAGCAGCAGCAGCAGCAGCAAGTTGGCAGCAAGCAGCACCCAGAAGCAGCAATTCGCCGCAAATGAGATCGAGCGACAGCAGAAACAACAAGCGGTTCAAGCAGCTGCGCTGTCCATCGTGCCCAAAGTACGGATTTTGTGCATCCCGGCGTACCCAGAAATTCTGAGGATGCGGCTCGGGAGTGGGAAGGGATCCATCTGAGCATTTGTGATTTGACGAAATGGCTCAGCAGATCTCATGGTTGCCAAACTGCTGCGCTGCCCACAGCAGAATGTTGCATTGAGCATGACTCGAAGATTCGCCAGAACTGAGCTGCTCAGTTGCAGAGCACTTATCCGCGCAGCCTGTTGCCCCCCACAAGGGGGGCCCGCGGACTTGTCGAATCCGCCAGCCTGCTCATCGTCGTTCCCCCTCCCCTCCCCTCTCATACCTTCGCCCTCATGGCCGCATCCTGCTGACGTCGGCGGTAGGCTTGCCCTGCCCGCTGGCAGTTGGCTCGGCCGATCGTTGGGGTCCGACCTCGAAGGGGGCGAAGGTACGAGGAGAACTGAAGAACAATGAAAGCGAACAGGGCGGCAAGGGGATGTGAACTCGTCTCCCTCCTGCGCTGTTCCAGTTCATGCGCATCTGAGGGTCTGCGCCGCTTCTGAATGCCTCCCAGGGACCTTCGGGGGGGCGGGTCTGCAGTAGGCACATACATCAAGAACTTGGTCTGCGAGCAGGTGCCCACTGTAGATGTCTTACGGCAGGTTCGCGTCATCGACGCGGCGGCGACCCCAGCGCGGGCGTTCAAGATTGAGCGCCGCCAGTAGTCCAGAATCAGCGAATTTGGAAAGATCTGGCGATTGAAATGCCGCCGATCGTTCAATGTTTAACGATTCACGCTGTGTCAGAGACCAACGCCGAAGTCGTCACGGCAGGAACTTGCCGCATGTCCCACGCTCATTTGAAGCCATTGGAATTATTAGGGGCTTTCTGCGAGGTCCAAGATCGGCAAACCAGTGTGCCCCTGGATTTCGTACAGCACCACTTTGTAGCGCATGCATCTACCGTAAACGGCACGGCCGTTGTACAGATCGTTGCGCTTGCTCCCCGAGACAGCGCCGTGAGTCCTCCCCGCAAGGGGGCGGGGCTCTCAAATCTTTGAAGCCTACGCTGCATGGCCATTCTACATAGTGTTGCGCGTGTTCCCCAGGACAGCGCAGGGACTCCTCCTCCAGGGGCTGCGGCTCCCAAGTGTCTGAGTCACGGCATCTCTCTCCATTGTTCAGGCAGCTTCTGCTTGTCGCGCACAGGGGGGGGGGGGGCAGAAGTAAATGAACAAACAATTTCATAAACAAAATTTGTCGGAGGTCCGCGCGGATTTCTTGGATCGGCGCTCTCCCTCCTTGGCGCGCGGAGCGCGCCAGGGTCGGCGTTGGAGGCGAGGCCAGTGGGGCCCCAGAGCCGATCCAAGCAATTCGCGCGGAGCTCCGAAAATTCTGTCTATGTAGTTCTGTTGCTCTTCGAAGAAGGAGGGAACGAAGGGAAGAGCGAGAGGCGGCGGTGACAGCGGGGAGGGTGGCAGCGGTGGTGGAGCGACAGGTATCAGCGGGGCGACCCCACTCCTTTGCATGTGTTACAGCATCGCAAGTGCAGGCCCACTTTGGGCACATCGAGAACGACACGACTGCGTGCATCCGCATGTGCGTAGCCGTTGTTGGAAAACGTAGCGGACTGGCACGAATATGTAATTATTTAACGCGTACGGCAGTTGCATTTCGTGTGAGGGGCATTTCGCCCCTCGGTCGTGTTTAGCGATCCCGCTTTCATTGCCATGGATGCTGAGCTTCAGTCGGCGGACAAAATATCGCAAGTCACCTGAGCATTATGATAAACAGCGTGCTAACTAGGATCAGGTTCCATCGATCTCTGAGGACCCCCCTATCCCCACATTTCAATGTTGATTTGCATTATGTTGTCCACCCGGACTTGGGGTGCTCGCTTGGTGCCAAAATTAAAATATAGGGGGCGGGGAGTGTTCGTCAAGGTGGCGCCGCAATGTAGGCGCAGCTGCACGCGGTCAGGAGCAACCAGCAAAATTTCGTCGTCCCACCGTTGCGCTAAAGAAACACGTCACCATGCTCATGTGGGCGAGACAGCAGTGTCTATAGTGTGCCGCATTCGCGTGCATGCGAATCGGAGGTGTTCGTCCATGCGATCTGTTTGGCGCGTTCCAGTGGGAGATCAAGGAGTTGCGCCGACCATCATGCCATCTTGGTTGAGTTGGCTTCGTTAAACGCATTATGATAACCGATCCAGCATGACGAGCGTTGCGTTTTGCACGCGTATATGTATAGGTGGGTGCGTACACGTATACTGAGTTACACGTGTGGCATCGATGTTGAGAGTTGTTCATCGTTTCGTAAGTGACTATGGGAAGAAGGGTGCGCGAGACAGATAATTGTACACGCCATCCTGACACATCGGAGCCCAAAAGAGTGCGTGGGTCATTCGTATTGATGGTGGCGCCCGCTTCATATCTATAAACATATATAGATGCATGCGAGAACACCTAAGTGTATGTACGTGTGTGCACACGTGCTTGCAAAGCTACGTGTACATGTTCATATGACGGTGCACACCCACCGTGCGTGATGTGTTGAAGCGTGTATGGATGTACCTGTGCACATACATCGAAAGGCGCATGCACATGTTGTATGCCGAGGATGCCGAGCGATGCTGCAACGAAGCGGAGCATTCCACGCACATGGGGCGATACTATGCGCAATTTGGGGATCCGTCGGAGGGCACAGGCAGCCCGCTTCCCAGGGGACGAGAATAGCCAAGCTGGACATGTTGTCCAGTCGAAACCCTGCTAGGCAATCAGAAATAGAGAGAAAGAAAAGTTTCTGACTCGCCGTTAGGTAGGCCCCCATGCTCTCGGCTCTCAGAGTCCAGTGTTCGACCGGTCTCTTTTTGTTTGCTCCGCCAAGGAGGCTCGGGTAAAGGATCCAGTCACACATCCCGAGACAGGCAAGCACGCCCAGAATTGGTCGAGAGCGACCCGATGTAGCAAGCCACGGCCAAATTAGCCGCCAGGGCGAGGAACGGTCGCAGGCCAGAAGCTGCCGTTAAGCCTTGCTTCTCCCTCAGCCTCGCAGCGAGGGCCCTCGCCGCGAGGACTCGGTGCTCGCGCAAGCCTGCCGCGAGGACCCTGCGCCCACCGCACCTCACCCTGCCGACATCTGGCTGATGGTCAAGATGCCGCCCGCATTGTCGCCATGAAAGGAAGATGTCCCGAGGGAAGCGGGTCCTGCTGTTTTTTGTTGTTGTAGGGCTCCTTGAGCCCTCCCGAGCCCCGGGGCCTTCATTGCCCTCGCTCGAAGGCGGCGCGCCTCGATGACTAACGAGTGAGGACGGTCAATCCCTTCGTCTAGGACTGCGAGGTCGAAAACCTAGAGAGTTTGTTCGATACGAAAGCGAGGCCAGCTGTGGGTTCCCAAAGTTTTGTGGCGAATGAATAGTTTCTATGGTTCATGAGCCGAAGAGGGCGAGATTGAAGACCAGGTCTCGATCCGATGCGAAGACGAGGCCAGCCGATGGTCATTACCGGTCTGTGCCTGCCTCGAGCCAGATACGCATCATATGTTACCAATCAAGAGCGCAAGGAAGATGTACGAAGTGGTTTGTTGGGCCCCAGGACGATTCACCGACACTGCTTTTAGAGCCAGCGTCTGGTTATCTTATCGGTTGGCACATCCCTCCAAAGCAGCATCATATGCGGTCTGGGTCGAAGGTGGGGGGGCGTTATGTGCTTGTGGTGTAAACGTGCTTGTGGTTTATCTCTGTCTCTCTCTCTCTCTCTGTGTCTCTCTCCGAGTGACTGTCCATGGTTCCGCTTTATCAACATTTGGTCTGCCGTTTCCTCTACACCAACGTCGACCCGTAATCACGGTACTAGACGCCGTCGTTGGGGAAGAGCGTTTCGGAAATCAACCGGGGCATTTCATGTCCAGGACCCAATTGACAAAGCCAATATGCGTGGCGCATGTTGCGAGAGCGGCTGCCTCTGCTAATTTGTGTACCCCCGCCAGTACTCAGGGGTCCCAACAGTTGGCTTCTTACGCAAGGTTCGGGATAGCAGCCCTCAAGAAACATCGGCGAGCGATGAGTGGCAACCACAGAGGTTTCCACGGGGTTGAGCTGTCTTGTGAGAAGCCTCCGAGCCCTTCAAAGAATCCCGCTGCATGTTCAGCCTTCTCAGGGTGCCACCCCTCTCGCAACCACGGCCGCCTCGGCCGACGCCGCTTTCAGCCGTCATTGCGCGAGCATCGCTTGTGGTGTTTGCCGCTGTCCGCGTGAGCACTGTGCGCTGCGTGTGTGAGCATCTAGCAGAGGGTGCGCGACGTCAAGACACGCCTTGCGCACGGGGAGAAGGACCAGGCTGCCCTGAGCGAGCTTCCCTATGCATGAGTCCCACTGGTCACGCGCAGGCTTCCCCGCAAGGTTGTGATTGCCGAGTCCGACCTGAGATTCTCGCGATGCCCCAGGGCTCTCCCGTAAGGGCACCCACACCGTCGCAGGCAGCTTGCACCACATAGTTTGCACATTTTTTCTTACACAACATTGAGTGCATCCTAAATGTTATACAATATGAGCCCCTCAACCTATACTGCATCCCACACCACGCAGATCTGCACATGCCGCCTTCTGCCTTCCAAACGAGGGAGGAGGAGCGCGTCGCCAGGCTGGCTTCCCAAGGCCATCCCCGGAGATGGTGGAACCGGTGTGGCCGTTGGAGAGGGCCGCGGAGCAGCTGGATTTGGCCATGTTCCGCAAGTTCGAGGCTCATGGGGACCGAAATTGGTACGGAAACAATAGACACAGCGACAAAAACAGTTCTTGATCATTCTGAACAGGATTCGCTGTCGGCGTCGCCGCGGCCGTTGTCCATACACAAACTCGCCTGCCCAACAGCGGCCGCTGCCGGTTTTAGACAATTGTTGCTGGGCATCGTACCCATTTTTTCCGTCCCCATTTCTCGGGTGTTCCTAGAAGTGCCCTTGGCCCACCGTGCCCCCAGGATTTCTAAGGAAGCCCCCACGGCCTCCAGAGCACCCTTCCCGAGGCCCATGGGGCCCAGGGGAACCAAAATGGAGCGAAAAGCTGGGGGCACCTTGGGCCAGGGGCACCTTTAGCAACCCCCGACTCTCCCCCCGCTGGTCACATCACGACTCGCGCCGGCGCCGTCTGGGCACGAGCCAGTCCTCAGCACTACCAGACGGCGCCGGCGCGAACCGCGACGGGACCGGCCCCCCTCCCCCCCGGGTCATGGCCGCTTCGCCAGGGGCACCTTAGCAACCCCCGACCGCCAGGCGTCCGAAGAGGCGGCCCAGCCCCCCTTTGGCAGTTGTCGAGGAGGAGGGGGGCCACGGCGGGGGCGGGCAGGAGGCGGGCGGGGAGGAGGACCAGGGCAGGCCAGCAACACCAATTTGGGGGGAGGTGCGCTCCCTGCCCCCCCGGGGCCTGCCGAGAAATCGCCGACACGACGGATCTCCCCCGCGAGGTTCTGAAGGAGCATGGCTCCCCTACGCCCCCCAAGAAGCTCCCTAGAGGCCCCCACGAGGCCCCAGAAAGCCTCCCAGATGACCCCAAGAGTTCTCCAAGAGGCCCTAGAGAAGCACCCCAAGAGCCCCTCGCACGCATCCGAGAGTCTCTTGACCCAAGATATAACTTCCACGATCGTCTGAAACACTCATTTCTTGTGGGGGTCGGCGGAATGGCATAAGCCATTCGAATAAAGGAACATGGCTCCCCTAGTTGTGGCTGGTCGGCGAGGAGGAGGAGGACGGGGACGACGACGAGCACGAGGAGGACGATGGCGAGGACAGGGAGGACGGGACACGAAGGGGAGGAGGACGAGGACAGGGATGGGGAGGGGAAGCGGGAGTGGGGCCAGGGGACGAGGCGGCATCCCCTTGCTCTCCTCCCCCCCATGCCCCCCTCAGCGAGGGTTTTGAAAGACCGATTGAGCCGCTCCGTAGTTCCAGGTTTCGATGGCAGGAGGGTTGCGGGTCTGACAAAGTCCCAGGCGTTCGCCTTCCCCGAGCTGCATCGCGAGAGCGTCCTGGAATCTGGCGATGTGCCTTCTCGGCCAGCCTCTGCGACGAGCGTCGTTCGACACGCGCGGGATATGGAGGACCGTTTCGCCTGGGAGTCCGGCGTGGGAGCCGGGGAGCCCACGACTCGGCCTCCAGCTGGCGCCTTGCGGGCCCCCCAGGCTCGCAGAGGGCGCCGAAGCCTGGAGGCCCCAGAAGCTTCCCTTGGCAGACGGGCGTCCGGGCAGCGGCGGGCTTGCGTGCCGTACGGGGGGGCGAGGACGAAGAGGCCAGGAGGAAGAGGCTGAGGAGAAGGAGGGGGGGGGGGCCAGGAAGAGGCAGAGGGAGAGGGAGGAGGAGGAGGAGGAGGCGGAGGAAGTGGCCAGGAGGAGGAGGAAGAGGCACAGGGAAGGAAGAGGATGCGCAGGCTCGGAGGAGAAGGAGGCCAAGAGAACAGGGCGCACGGCCGCCCCGGCGCCAGAGGCCGGGCAAGACTGGATGACCACGCTGACGGACGATCTGAGGAGGCGCGGGCGCCCTCTGCGCGACTCGGCGGTGCCGTCGCTGTCGTCGCCGTCGTCGCTGGCGTCGTCGTCGCCGCCGCCTGCGGCCAGCGCTTCCCTTTCGCGGCGGCGAGCCCAGGGGGGGAGGTGAGATCGGTACGCTCGAAATGGTTTGGGAAAGAATGGGTATTCAGACCGACAGCAGCTCCTTTGCATTTTGAACAGGGCTCGCTGTCGGCATCGCTGCGGACGTCGTCCATTTGAGACAGAAGGCGGCCTGTTCAATAGCGGCCGCTGTCGGTTTTGGACAACGAGTGTTCTTGGGCATCGTACCCATTCTTTGCGTGCCCATTTCGAGCGTCACGATGAGAAGGGGCAGGCCCTTAGTTGCCCTGGTACGTCCGTTTTGAAACGCAACACGTGCCATGTTCAAAGCGTCCGTGTTGACACACTGCGTGTTGGCTCGGCACTTGTTGGCCCATGTTTTGGCGAATATCGCGCCAGGCCTACGCTTTCACTACGCGTTGAGAACCGTGTCAACACGCTACGGGTTGCGTGTTGCGCATCGGGGCGGCTAAGGGCAGGCCTTCTCAGAAGGCGGCGGGGCTTCTCAGAAGCACTCCCGCCTTCGGAGAAGGCAGGCAGGCTTTCTCCGAAGCCGCAGGCGGTTTCTCCGAATGCGGGAGAGCTTCTGAGAAGGCCTGCCCCCTCTCACTTCCCCTCTGGGCTCGCCGCCGATTTTCGCCCGAGGAAGCGCAAGCATGTATCGAGGCGCGTGGATTCACCGCAGGTCCCGCTGTCGTGCAGGATCGGCGCGATCCGTCGCCAAATCAGGCGGCGCTGGCCTTGTGCGTCGGGGGCTCCTTCCCCGATCCGTGGACCTGGCGCCATCCGGGTGCCCACGCGCCAGAGCCACGGATCCGTGATCCATGCCAGCGTGCGCCCGATCCGCAAGCACCGAGAGCACGCCTGTCGTTATTTTCTTCTTCTTATTTTTCTTCTTCTTCTTCTTCTTCTTCTTCTTCTTCTTCCGCTCGAGGCGGGCGCAAGGCATGCCGCACTCGCGGAGGCATCGAGGCGTGGTCGAAGACCGGACGCCGCTCCCGGAGCCGAGTTGTCGTCACCCGCAGGGGCGCGCGAAGACTGCCGCACCCGACGGCCTGCCAGGGCCCGTTCGATTTGCCTGCTGGGGCAGCGAATCCGATCCGATTCGGTTCGGGCCGATTCACCGGCGTCGGCCGGGGTCGGCCAGAGAGCTGGCCGTGGCGATCCGAGCTCGATTTGGTTCGCGACGATTCGCTGGCGATGCCATGCATGTCCGATCCGGTCCGATTTCGCGCTTCGATCCAGCCCAGGCCTGCCTGCGCCAGAGAGCTGTCCCTCTCCTGGGGGCCCCCCTGTTTGCACGGGGCGCAGCAAATCGGCCCGTTTTCCCACGGGCACCCCCCTCCAATTGGGGTGGTGGAAGCGGGCGGTGGGGCGAAGGGCAGCATCAGGACGACACACTTGCCACCAGTGTCCAGTGTCCAGGAGGAAGAACAGGAGGAGGAGGAGGAGGAGGAGGAGGAGGAGGAGGAGGAGGAGGAGGAGGAGGAGGAGGTGGTGGTGGAGGAGGAGGAGGGGAAGGGAGGGGCGGCCGCGCCGCTCGCGGCGGGACGCTCGCGCAGATGCGCGGCGCGGGGCGCGAGGTCGGGCAGGTCCGTCGTCGTCGTCGTCGCCCGAGGGGAGCCCAAGGAGGGCCCAGGCGCCAGCGGGGCCCCGCGGGGCCGGGCGGGCAGAGCCCCGGCAGGGCCCCGCAGAGGGAAGGAGGAGGAGGAGGAGGAGGGGCGGAGGGAGCGGGGAGGCAAAGGCCGAGGCGCCCAGGCTCCCCCGGGTCATGGAGAAATCAGGGTGGGAGGGTTTCCACTGTCTTCGGCCTGCGGGGGCCTTTGCCGGACCTCGGGTGCGTGAACAACACGACTCGGGCTGAAAGACGGGTCCCGGGGGATCGGTCGAGACCGTTGGGGGTGGACGTAATGAAGAGGCCATGGCGTCGGGGGTCTGCAGAGGCAGAGGGAGCGATGGATGTAAAAAGCGAGCGTGCGAGCGAGCGGTGTTGTGGCATGTATTGCGCGGGGGCCGTTCACTGAATGTTTACCCCCAGGGCTGTTCAATCAATGCTTGCCCCCGCGTGTGTAGCATGCGTTCCTATCGTGCGGCAGGCTGAGGCGGCGGAGGTTCCATCATGTTGTCCAGTTCCACCTTCTCCCTCAAAAAACGCCCTGCGATGCGGGGCCGCCGTGGTGCCCAGCTGCGCCTGCGCTTGCCCGGTTCGTCAAAATGTTCGGCCTGTTTCTGAGTTGCACGTGTTCTGTGAAAGCCTCTTTCGATATAAGGTCGAGCTCAGGATGCCGACCCTGCCCAGTCTCGGATCTCAATATGGATCGAGACGTGGGCCAAGTCCCAGTCCTTTGGTGGAACCAGTTTCGGATGCTGTTATCGACATGTTTTCCGCTAAGGCTCGGCTTCTGGAGCCTTCAATACGGGATCCGGCCATGGGCTCGGAGAGGAGGATGTTCGGCGCACCTCCCTTGTGCGTCCGATCAGAGGCGCTTCGGCCGCAACAAGTTCCATTGTTTTCTGTTGAACCATACTATGTTCGTGATGTGTCCGATGCTCGCAACGGGCAGCTGCAAATCGGGAAAAGAAAGGAGCGAATGAGCGTGAGCGCGAGCGTGAGCGCGAGAGCGAGAGCGAGAGCGAGAGAGCGAGAGCGAGAGCGAGAGAGCGAGAGAGCGAGAGCGAGAGCGAGAGAGCGAGGGCAAGGGCGAGAGAGCGAGAGCGAGAGCGAGAGCGAGAGAGAGAGAGAGAGAGAGCGAGAGCGAGAGAAAGAGAGAGAGAGAGAGAGAGAGCGAGAGAAAGAGAGAGGAATCAAAAAAAGGCTGCTGAAGGGAAGAAGCGAGGGACAGAGGCCAATAGTGAGGAGGAGGGAGGGAGAGACGGAGCGAAGCAGGGACAGGGGATCAGGCAGGGCTCGGCACACGGGGTGAGAAAGGGAGGGAAGGACGAAGACGGAGGGGCACGCTGTACCTTGGCATCGGCGCACGGAGATCGTGGGGAGGAACCTCACCACCAGAGGCAAGGTTGATGATCCGCTCCCGGGAGGAAGAGGAGGAAGAAGGGGTGGAAAAGGAGGATTACGCTGTAAAAGGGGCATGGGAGGTAGAGTCCACGGTCACGACAGGCGAGGAGGAACGAAGGCGATACATCGCGGCAGCGCCCGTTATGGTCTGATGCTTCTGAGAGACAATAGGAGACGCTTGCCCCTTATCTATAGCCGATGGCTCGAGCCACGTGGGCTTAGCGTTTGGCGCAGAGGGAGACTCGCTTCGACCTGGCACAGAATATACAGACCAATGTTGCGGTTCATCCGCGCCACGATCGCCAGTGGCTGTCAGAAAGTATGCAGTTGGCCCTGCAGCGATAAAGATTCAGTGCGGGTGCAAATTGCTGTCTGGACACTTCGATTGACGAGTCTTTCCCTTGCAGCACTTACCTTGGCAGTTGCCTTAGAAGGCCAACTGACATATGCACTGTGCGCCCCGGCCGTTATGGGTATATCTATCGATATATGGGTGTGCAGCTTGGTACGAGACGCAAGTGGTAATGGCGAAGTCAGCACGATTCACGGTATCATCTGCGATGCCTTCAGGTTTGGGACGCTCGTAACGATGTGTATCGCGTCGCCAGCATACAATGATGTTCCGCTTGCTAGGGTGACCGGCTTACTTCTCGCACCCGTGCACATAAGCCAGGCAAGTTCCCGAAACGTGAAGGAGACAAGCATAATGATGTCGTTGAATTTCTTATTGATTGTCAAGCGCGAGCAAGAGACGGCTTTCATATTAGGCGCGTTGATACAGCACGTTTGGTTGATATTCAGCGCATGGAAAAGTTCAGCGCTTACAGAGCTTTTAAACAAGGAGGCGGTCTTTCACGTCATACAAGATTCCGAACGCATGATGAAAAAGCTCCTGAAAGTATTACTTGATTGTACTTTGGTAGTAGACTGCGAGCACGCTGAACATACATATCGTAACGGTGAAGACCAAACTAGCAACGCAGGAGCCACAGATACCGTCGATTGCATTGAGTGGAAAGTAACCGAGTGTGGACAGGCTGAGGAACTTTTCTTTGGTGCACCCATGAACGGCTTGACCTTGAGTGAAATAATGCCGTTGGATGTGGACCGCAAGCGAGTTGCAAAGATGTTAGATTTGGTCGCACGTGAGGGCGAGCATGCTAGAATGATCAGCAACGTGCGCGTGCAGTGCTCAGTTTTGGGAGGGGGTGTTTTGCACATCGGAAGCGGGGTTGCTGCTACAGGCTGCTTCCGTAACGGCCAGCATTTCATCGACACTGACGTTGATCTGGTCATTATCGACACTGGGACGCTGTCAGGAGTTAGTGGCCACAAGCGGCGCGCCGGCATCTTCATCGGGATCCGGAAACACATTATGGGCGAATGCGAAAATTCGCGCAATCCGACTGTTCCAAGCAACGGTTCGCAAGACGGCGACGTGCTCAGCATTTGTTTCGAGGTTGGCCCGGCGTGTTTTGAGGTGATGGCTTGCTCAGCGCAGCTCGAGGACACTGGGATAGTAGGCAGAAATATTCTTGACTTGATCCCAAACACCCGTTATAGAAGCAGCTTTGAAATATTAGTGCACGACGAGTTGAAACAGGCGCCAGTGGGAAAGCCATGGAAATCCATGGTGATGATGGATAATTTTGTCCTGAAGTTTCCTAGGATGAGTGGATTGAAAATCCAGTCTCGCACGGCATGGATTGTCATAAACCCGGAGGCCGCACATGACGGAAGCAGAATGCTTGTAGCGTTGCATTTTGAGCAGGCGCGTATCAAAAGAAGGCACCCACTGAGAGAGGAAATGAAGTGCGGAGGGTTTGCAGAGAACATCGAAACCGGGACGATGCAAGCATTGGTTGCTATCCAAGAGGCTTACGCCATTCCGCCGATCCCCAGA